CCATGATCAAGGGGTCTCCTGGTAATTCAAGGTCATTTGTTAGCTCTTATCCCTGCAAGACATAGCTCTCTGCTGGCTGATGCTGTTCTGCTGTGATCACACTGAGGTCTGCTTTCCAAATCCACACCACGTGCAGGGTGATGTGGGGGAGACACCTCTCTCTCTAATTTAGCACTGAAAAGAACCCCTTCCTCTCAAACTGAGGTGTGTGAATGTGCTCTATGCCAATGTCAGTATTACTGGAGGAAATCACCTCTATAAATCACCTCCCTAACATGTGAAAACAGACATCCCAAACTGAGACATCAAAATGAATCATATGCTTGAAAATCTCCTCTTTCCCTCAGTCACGAAGTGGGGGTGGCAATACTTCCATACCTCTGGGAAGCCCTTTGGCTAAGCAAATCCTAACCACATGTAAAATATTCTCTAAGGAGAGCATTATTTGCCTGGTGATACCTATTGTTCTAGTATTTAAAATGAAAAAAAAGAAAAAAAAAAAACTCTACACAAATTTTGGAGCACTACACAGAGTTTATTTTGAAAAAGAAATCAAAGAATGTTTTTTTCAACTCTGAGCCAGATGGAGAGAAAAAAACAAACGTATTCCATCTGAAGAAAGGAAACACATGAGAACTTTCAAAAATATTTTTGCCAAGTTTTTTTTTTTTTTTTAATTATTAAACAGCATGGAAAAAGTGAGGTGGAAATGGTGAATGAATAAATAGACTCTGGATTGAGGAAGGCCTGGTTTCTAGAGAACAAAGGTGTTTTCCATCAAGTGCATTGCTTTTCTACCTATAGATATCCAAATTACTTTGAGTGAACATGAGTACGCACTGCAAACTGTATAGCTACCTCCTCATCCCAGGCCATGGGAGAACTAGGATTCTGTGAAGGCTCAGGGCTGACCCCATCATGTACTTTTAGTATGAAGAGCATGGTGGCCCTCTTTTTCAAAGGCACTATATGGAGAGTATGAGTTGCAACAGGAGAAGTTTGTTCTTGATACAAGAAGGAATTTTCTTGCAGTGAGAACCACCAGTCACTGGAGCAGCCTCCCCATGGATGTGGTGGAGACCCCATTGCTGGAGGCATTCAAGACGCAGTTGGACAGGCAGCTAGATGAGCTCACCTAGACTTCCATTCCCCACCAAAGGGCTGGATCTGGAGATCTTCAGGAGGTCCCTTCCCACCTGGGCTGTTCAGTGACCCAGGCTGGAGGCAGTGCCAGTGAAGACAGCTGTGTCCTTCTGCTTGTCCTTTAACCATCACATTTGGGGTGAGCTGCTCCTGCATGGTAGCACACAAACTGCTCCTTCCAACCCAAGCCATTCTATGGTCCCATGGGCCAAGGTCAAGGCAACATTCATGCAGAGGCTTGTCTGAGGTGCTTTGCATTCTTCCATCAAGATGTTTTACCATCAGTTTTATTTTGTCTTGCACAGCTCCAGCCATTAAAACAAAGTTTCTAGCATTCAGTTCATTGCAGGAGCGATGAACTAAAACTGCTATTAAGGAATAAGATAGCCACAGCCATGCTTGGAAGTAGGTTGGTGTAAGTGAAAAGGCTTTTGTAAAAATAATTTTCATCAATTTTATTCTCAATGTCTCCAAATGTTTCTGGCTGTTTGTAGACACTGATCTCCACATGTCTCTTGGTTACACAAACACGCACAAGTAAACAACTACATCTCTGCTTAGTGCTTCCTTTATTGGAACAACTGCGAGTATTATTTATAGACATCACAGAGGATGAAAGTTAGAGATTTATAAACTCTAATTAGCTGAAGATGATTCAAAATAAATTAATTACATGACTCAGACATGGATTTAAGAAATCCAGCACTGATGTAAATCACAATGACTCTGCACCCTCTCTGCCTTCCTCTCCCCTCCCTGAGTGCTTGCCAGGGGATAGGAACTTGCCTTCAATTTGATATAAACCAAGAAAAAAGAGTGACGGAAATGTAAACTCAGTATGCCAAGGTATACTACTTGTGCACAGGAAGGAAAGCCAAAACTCTAGCTGGGACAAAATAACTTCCAATCACTTAGAATTTTCCATACAACCTGTGCTGTCACTCAAACCATACAGAAAGCAGATTTAACAGGGATGTTTTCCAGACCCCATGTGGCAGCTCTGGCTTTCTTGACAATTTCTTGGCCCATTCTAGTGTCCTGTTTGCATCCTTGCCAGTCTCTTCTTTCTATGACAGGTCTTAGAGCTGTCCCAGCACCCTCCCAGTTCTCTCAATGATTTCCTTCTCTGTGGCCATTTGACACCTCCATTTTCCGCTTGCAGGAATAATGGGTTGGAATAACTGACTGTCCCAGCCCTCCTGGCTACTGAGTCCAGATTTTAAGGATGACTGAATACAGTAGGCATGCAAATGCAGCATCCATCTCCAGGCAGCTTCAGAGAGTTTAGACCAGGCACACTTTGCTTCCCAGTTAAAGGTGGTGAATTAGAACGCAAATTACAATCCAGCATTGAAAATCACCTTGAAATAAGTATTTCATTTATAAAAATGTTACATCTTTAAAGTGTCCTAGTTCAGTGGTTATTTCCATGCTTGATTTGGCATAGCTGCTACGCTAGATTACAATACGCTAAGCAGCTCTTGCTGATGAACAGCTGTATCTGTAACCTTATGCAGGCATAAATGTAGCTGTAGCTGTTAATAATCACTGCACAGAAAACCTCTGTCGAGGGAATGGAGGGCAGGGAATGAGTCTTGGATTATCTGAACTTGAAATGTAAAATCACCCCTATTGCTAAAGGAAAACTGATATTAGGGTGACCAAAGAGTGTATCTGGTGCTTACACAGAGGTTTCTTGTGAGCTTCTTGTATTGATACAGGATCATCACATCACTAAAAATCACAAAGAGCTTCATTTAACTGGGTAGACATTCAGAATAGGCTTAATATATCAAAATATGCCAGATAGACAGCAGTGCTTCTCTAACTCAGTCTGGCTCTGCAAGGCTTCATTCACCATGGTTTCTGCAAAATAATGGTGTTGTACCTTGTCATCTAAAAATAGCAGCTTAACACCATCTCTACAGACATTGTGTAATATATATGTAAAGACTACAGCATGTATCTACACTCAACTCCTAGGTGCAACAAGACAGGGTGTATAGTAGAACCACACTGTATTCGGTACCTGATGAAAAAGCCAAAAGTCCTGGAAATGCAGTGTGTCTCAAGAGAAGCACAGCCTCCAAGATGGCGGCACAGTCTGTGTGGCTGCAATACACAGACCTTTCATTTTACAGAAATATACACGTTTTTCTTCGCTCCTGTCTCACATCTACTGCGCGCCACAGGACAGGTTCCCAAATGCAACATTTTCTCTATTTTCTAAGTTATACTTAAAGTATCTCTTCCCCCCACCATCACCACAAAGAACGAACACCGGAGGGAGTGTGGGACGTAGGAAAGCGGCAGTCTTTAATTGGATGTTCTTAGGAGCAATATTTGAAAATCTGAAGTACAAAACCACGTCTCCTTCCAGCAGAGCTGGAGTGTTTCAACAAACTTATCTACATTCGGCCAAGGCAAATGGCAGGTCAGGGAGCAAAGGAAAAACAACTCTTCTTCAGAAGAAGCCAAAACAACTTCCCTCGATACGCCATGTGGCCATATGAAGAACATAAAAACCAGGGAACCAAAACCAGGGGTTGTGCTAACGAGCTTCAACAGGTCCCTAATTGTTTCAATTCCTGATAAGCAGCACTGCTGCCTAGACAATGGCTCAAGGGAACGTGGAGGAAGCTGTCTGGTTGATGATATCATCTCACTTAGCCACACTGCTTTCTGTTTTGTAGCTTATTTTCCAGTTTGTTTGGGAGAGAAGTACTAGTCCAAGAAAACAGAGAGATCAATTTACAAAGTACTTTGGAGAAATGCAAGTTGATCAGACTTTCTGAGTACGGCATGTTTTTATTACCAAATTTTGAAATCTATCTTGAAAAGAAACGTATTTCTGCAAGTGCAGCTCTTCTGTTTCTGTTTTCTTAAAATCCCTCCTTGGGGCAATGCGGGTAGCACCTATTAGGGCAGGACTCCTCACAAACAGGGAGAAGGAATGAAAACATTTCAAGTTCTGTGGCATTTCCTCAACAACGGAAGAAGGTTGGAAGGCAGGCAGGAAAGCACAGAAGAAGGAAGGAAGGAAGGAAAAACTTTTATTAGCACGGTCTTGGCAGAGTACCCTGATGGAACACAGGTGAGATCAGAGCTACAGCGAGTGTCTAGTCCTTAGTCAACTTCATTGTTACACACGCAGACTAGATTGCGTAAAACAAGGAAAACACTACCTAAAATTTGCTTTAAAAGTTATTTAACCAGAACAAATCATCTGGGAAAGTACAAATATTTCTAACTGGAAAAATATTTCTCTACAGCTGAGCTAGGCCTGGTAGCAAACCTTAGTGAATTATTAGTACCTTTATTGTTTTCTTTGGCCCCTCTGCACTATATTTGTAAAAAAAAGTCACTAAAAAAGAGAACAATTGTAAAAAGCAAATATTTTGTACAAAAATACAAAGTTTTAAAAGCTCTTAAAAGTATATTCCATATTATTGATAAGAGTTGGACTATATATATATATTTATATAAAATCTATATATTTGTGTATCTGTATAATTTTCCTACATTTGGGATTTTAGCAAATGAAACATCCTGTTTACACGGTTGCTTTATATGTTTTTTTATATATGACTGACCAACAGTCTTACTCAGATTGAGAGAATGTCTTTTTTTGGAAGGCACAAGCTGCTGATATCTGTGGTTACTGGTTGGGAAAAAAAATCTATAGCAGAATTAGTCCAATGGTATTTCCTGATGCTGTGGGGTGAAAGGCTTCAAACAGTCGGATGCTGAAGAAGAGTTGCTGATGAATTCCTTTATGCAATTTAACCAGTTTTCAGTGCTTGCTTTTGGTTTTGATATTTTTTTCTTTCTTTCTTTATTTTCTTTTGTTGTTGTTGTTGTTGCTGTTGTAGGCAGTGTTGCTCTCCCCTGGGATTTTCTTTTTCTTGAAGTGAATTTTCACAACATGTAGGTATCTGTAAAGTCACAGCCTTTTACGCTCCAAATATTTGCCCTACAATATGAGAGAAAAAAGTCAAACAGAAAAACATCACATAAAAAGCTTGTGAAGATTAAACACATTTCTAAAAAGAAAACTTACTGAGATCAAGGTATGTTAAAATTCTAACTGGACTCATATTCAGATTCCATAAGTCCTGGAGGATAAATATTTGTAAACCATTAGGCTTTTTTAAAATAACAAATGTATGCAGGGAAAGGAGGACACATTGTGTTGTTACTTACATATAGTCCTTCACTCTGGATACCCAAACAGTGTTAGACACACACAAAGCTTGTTCAGCACTTTGTTTGGTTTTGCTGTAGGGGGATGTTTTTGTGAATGGGAAGTACTTTTGGCTCTAGTTGGCATTTCCATCTGCCTTTGCTAAAATTCAGCTTACATGTTTACAAGTGGTGCAGCTGGGCACTCTCAGCAAAGCAATGTTACACCAGTTGTACGTAGGTGTTAACAATTAGGTGGAACAAGGCCCTCAACACCATTACCACCTCGCTGCACAATGGCGGGGATGGATTCCAAGAAACCATGCAAACCACTCTGCACTCTGCCTGTATATCTAGAAAGAGAGCCCCCATGGCAACTGCCTGGCTGACTGCTCAGCCATGAGGCCGTTTACAAGCTGTCCACTGCATTGGCTACTATTTGCAACAGAGCAGTTGCTTGTGGCATGGGACCTGGCTCCTCAGCCCAATGGGACATCTCCTGGCAGCATTCTTGTCTGAATTTTAAGGCCTTCGTAGCAGTCACCAAGTGCTTCCTGTTGCATAAACTCTCAGAACAGTGTTTGTTTTTTGAAGGCTGGTCCCGGAACCAGCCTAAAGGCCAGTTTTCACACCTGCTTGGCAGTTGAGTTTATAAAAACAACTTGCAGTGTGGCCAGGGTCTGAAGCACATGTGCCAAACCATGTCTGAAATTTTAGGCATGTTCCAAGTGGCCAAGAGGCAGAGCACATGATGCCTGCAGTCAGTCTGAAGGCTGCTTTTCCAGAGAGTGATCAATCCAGCATCCACATCATGTACATTATTAGCACTGCTACTGGAACCAACCTTATGCCTGGCTCATCTCCTCACTACCTACCCATTACCTAGATTTAGACTGGATATAAAGAAAAAGTTTTTTACCATAAGGGTGGTGAGGCACTGTAATAGGTTGCCCGGAGAGGTGGTGGATGCCCCATCCCTGGGGACATTAAAAGTCAGGATGGACAGGGCTCTGAGCAACTTGATGTAGCTGTAGGTGTCCCTGTTCATTGCAGGGGAGTTGGACCAGATAATCTTTAAGGGTCCCTTCCAACTCAAATGATTCTATGATTCCATCTGTGTGAAATGTACTTGAATTTGACCTGCCACATATAGAGTGAAATAATCAAATCGTGCCTCACTTACCTTTATCCATGTCTTTTTCACAAATGAAATTGTTAACGTCTTCACAGTAGAAGTCATTCCAGAGCCCAGCGTAGATTAACCCAGCACAATCTTCTCCTGGCCCGTGCCCATGACTCCAGTTATCAGGTTGCCCAGTTTTCCAGTTTCTTTCAACAAAAAAGCAATAGATATTATTGCACAATGCGGCACACATGATAGTTTTTCAACCACAAGAAATTAACAAAAACATCATGAGATCTGTTCTGAAAGGGAAATACACGTTGAGACAAACAATACATGACTCTTGCTGAAAATGGAAAACAGATGTATAACAGAGAAGGGAATCTATTTGGCTTCAGGCTGCCAAGACTCAAAGACCTAAAATTAGACCAATGAACTTTATTTTTGTTTCTGAATGTACATGCACGTGCAGTGGGAGCGCTCCATGTGCATCGTTCTGAACCCGCACAGTGTGCACTCTTCATTCCTGCCAGCAGATGGTACTGTGAGAAGCTGGCAGAAAAAGATGGCAGTGTGGTGACTTGGCCAGTCATTGAACCGAGATGGACCTCTTGGGAGGCACAGCAAGGGTTATTTAACTTAGAGATCAGTGTTTCAATAGAAGGTGAAATGTTGAGCTTATAAAGAATGTACAAAGTATGTGTCTAGATATGTTTCGAGATCATTAGTCTTCATGGGGAAAGTTAACACAGTATGTAAAGAGCTTGCAGGAAGTGTTTCCTCATCCTGTTTTTGTTTAACAAGTGAGACACACTTCCAAAGTTGGGATTTAAAAGCTCAGTTTTCCTGAAGGAACAGGTTGTTGACCAGAAGTTGTGATTGCTGGCTGATATGGGCTGCGCTCAGTAGAAAATTTGCCTGCCTGACACAGAGCATCTGAGCAGGCACCTGGGAAGACGTGTGGCATTCCGAGTAATGAAATACTTTGAAAATAAGAAACTGACAGCTCTGAGGTTATTACAGGGCACCTAAACCCATGGTGTGGTGGAAATCTATTGAAAGCAGTGGCTGAAGCAGGACTCTGGCACAGTGCTGCCATAAAGAGGATGAAAAATGAAAGCATGGAAGGAGAAAAAGGGAAAAGTATTATGGCTCATTTGAAATGCATCTGACTTTTTCAATGTTTCTCATCAAAATGAGCACCTATGAGATCACAGCTAATTAATTTGTAACAATTGACTGACTGAGCCTGTTTTTTTGGAGCACAGCATGCTCAGCTCTGTAAACTCTTTGGTATTAAAAATTTGGGTGTTTGAAATCTGTTCAATTTAGGACAAATTAGGTGTAACCCTAGGATTTCTGGAGAGCTGCCAATTCAGTTCTTGGCCAGCCAAAGCTTAGACACCCTTGTTTCGAGCATTTACCTTATGTTCAATGCTTTCCACATGGTTTTGGTCTTTATCTAAAGGCTGGCCATTTTTTATCAGAACCCTCTATTTATAGCCACTTGTAATGCAAATAAGGAAAATTCAAACCAAGACAGAAAAACTGTCTGTGCTTTCCATCTCAACTTTGTAATAAAAGTCAGGAGGCAGTGTTTTGGCAAGGAATGCTTTGCTGTGTAGTTACGTGATTCTTTCATTCAGTGTTCAGCCTTCCTTCTGGCGAGGAAATAAAGCTGTGTGCATAGAGAAGGGAGAGAGAAAACAAAGTTCAACAGCACCCTCAGTAAAGAATTATTTCATTGGCATCTACAAACCTCTGGATCCATGGGATAATTTCTAGGTATTGTTTACAGAAGGGTTGGCAAGAATGGTAGATTCTGCAGAAAATAAACACTGTTGTTTTTATTTACATACGTGTAAAGCGGTAAGGATCCATCCAGCCACCTCCATTCATTTTCCTTCTCTGAATCTGTAAGTCCAATCCAGAAGCTGCCTTTCCCCGAAATCTGCCTCTTTATCCATTGCTGTGGAAGAAAGATATTAGTGCATAACAAGCAAATACAGTCTTTGGAGATATTAAGCTACAAGAGCATCTTTGCTATCAGAATAGGAATGCCTGGAGAAACTTTTTCAAGCTGAAGACAGGTTTCATGAGTTTGCTTTGTGACAACATATCTATTAGTACTATCTGCAGATGAGGTACAGAGAGCTAGTCATCAAAGGAAAGTGGATGTAACATATTACAGATACAAATGGAAGAAAAAAAAACAAAAACAAACCGATAAACCACCAACAGACAGGAAGCACTTGTATCGTGATGTTCCCTATGCCACATAGCCACAGAGTAATTATGTTTAATAGTACTAAAAGTACAGCTAGATTTATAGTTACATTAAAAACATCTGTGCGTCACAGTAGTCAGGTTGCATATATTAAAAAGAATTTTAAAATAAATTATTTTCAACACTGAAAAAAGTCCACATTCTGGATTGTATGCACAGCATACTGGACTGCATCTTCAGAGGTTTGAAACTCCTCCAGTTCTCACCATTCTTCCTGTGCTCTGTGACCAGAACCTTCAGGGTGAGACGCTTCTCACAAGGAATAACTGCTGAGCAGAAGGTGGACAAAATGCTAACTGAAGTAAATCAACCACTGTGTGCACTTTCACTATATGAATTTATGATGCTCTCAGCTTCCCACTTACTTTGCTGCTTCAATATGTTAAATAAGCAGAGATTCCCTCGAAACATTGAAAGAAAAGCTAGTTACCTGTTCTTCTTTGTTGTTTATGATAACCAAGCGCGATGCCTTCTCTTCACAGAATAACTTTGCCTCTTCAAAAATTTCTCTTTCAATTGAAAAGTAGTAGCATTTTTCTGTGTAGTTCTTCCAATGAGGAGAACAACCTATGATACGATTTTTTTTTGCATGAAACACAATTCATAAATCAATGAGACAACAGTAACTTTCTGCATAGGGCCAATAATTAGGGGAGTATCCCATCTACAATGCATTGCCATCTAACATATTTAGGTATGTTTTGAGAATCTATTTACGAAAATCCTGACTGTGAAATCAAGGTTAAACCGTGAGGCCAATGGGACCATTTATTCCACATACAACTTAGGATTTTTCTGTAGCTGTAAACAATAAATTGAACCAGCTTCAGACTCTAAGTGGGAAGACTAAGGTATAGCTTCACTTGACAAGGGTCTTTATGATTAATCTCAGAGACTGAGATGTAGCAGACGTTGAATGAACCAGTGACTCTGGTGAACACCCTCCACCAGGTATATCTGTATCACAGTGAAAGATGCACACGTTTCAATAGCTTACCGTTAGCCTCAGGCACTGATGTTGGTTCGCTTTGTAGTGCCATTGGCATCCCTGGACCTGGTGGTCCTGGTGGGCCAGGTGGGCCTTTGGGACCAGGCAGCCCAGGGACTCCAGGTAGCCCAGGTAGTCCTCGAGGTCCTGGTACTCCTGGCTCTCCCACAGTTCCTTGCAGGCCTTGAAATCCTGGTGGGCCTTGTGGCCCCTGTGGACCATCTTTGCCTTGTGGACCTGGTGGCCCTGGGTCTCCGCTTGGTCCAGGAAGACCCGTTTTGCCAGGAGAACCTCTCTGACCTTTGGAGCCTGGTGATCCTCTTGAGCCTTTCCCTCCTTTCTCTCCTGGTGGCCCAATTGGCCCAGGTGGGCCCTTTTCACCTGCAGGTCCTGGTGGTCCAGGCTCTCCTTTCTCTCCTTTTTGTCCTTTTAGGCCAGCAGGGCCAAGAGGACCTTGAGGGCCTCTGTCACCTTTAGGTCCCCTTGGACCAGGAGGGCCTGAAACAACGTAAGCATTCAAAGTGGGAATACAGAAGAAAACAAACAAAAAGCCCACCTGGGGTCCCTCTTTAATATATCAGATCAGTGACGCTGGATATGCAGCACTGTGAAAACCAGGCTAACAGTTACTTGCAGCTGTGCTTGTAAAAGTAAGTCTGCTTCTCGGGCTCTACACACCGTTTCTCTTTTCTGAGCTTCCACGAAATATAAAATTTAGAAGAAAATCATCTGATGCATCTTGTCCTACAGTACTATGACAGCACTATGATGCCTCAGGTGACCAGTTGAGGTGCACAGCAAAACATGCTCTGTGCTGGTTGTGCATGCACTCCCATTCTCCTGTTCTGCTGTACTTCCTTTTCCTTCCAGTAATATCTCCTCTCTTAGACTACTGGACTGCTTTTCCTGCAGTGCTGTTTCTTACTCTGTCAATAGTGGGTTGTCAAAGAGACAAAAAAGATGGACAATGTGCAATAGGCCAACAATAGGAAAGGCCAGTTATATTCACTAGCTGGTAGGTTATAACAGGAAACAGAACAATATACAAGATAGGAAATGGTAATGCTGTGGCAGTTTTCCATATATAAATATCAAAATAATTTTAGATTCAAATTATTTGATCATGGGTGATCAAATATTTTGCCTACATATGTTATTTTCAGCATCATTTAAATTCCTTCAGACATAAATTACTCAGCTACAGTAATTTAGACCTGTGTGAAATGAAAAAGCTTAAGGTTACTGACTTGTAATCTTGGCTCTAATTCACTTAGTCTATTTGGAACATTTAGTTTTCACTTGTGATTAGAGTTTTAGGCCTGGCTGGTTCCATCAGGTTGGCAATATTCATGTTCTTTTCATTTGACTGGGAGAAACCTCCTAAACTTGATGCTATTTATTCCTGGAGAAAATAAAATATTCCAGGATTAAAAAATAAGCAAAGTAGGATGTATTCTGGCGAAATAACAACGGGCTTAAAGTAAAATCGTAACTTGTTTTTCAGTTAGGGTGGACCTTTCTGGGAATAGTCCAACATATATTTTTTAGCCATTTCCTCCTTAGCTGGGATTGGTTTCTTGAGGTTCCACACCTTCACTAACTTATTTTAGAAACTAAATCAAAAGCAGATCCAGGCAGTCACTCAGAATAAAATCTGCGAAGTCAGAACCTTCTTTCATAACATCCCCATTCTAGGTATGTAGCGAAGGCACAGGAAAATTAGTAAGGAAAATTCAAGCTACATTTACATTTCCGAAGTTCAGGATTATATAATGGAAAACACCAGAACTGTGTACTAACGTGCATTAACTTAAACAGAAATAAAGTACTGCAAATAGGAATTCATCACAGTCCATTACGAGCTTCACTGGAGAACCTACATACCTTGTAGGATAGTGAAGTTCTTGATGAGCTGGCCATGTTTGGAATCTACCAGCTTCATTTCTTCCATGATTACTGACAAATTGGCAACTTCAACATCTAACCTTGACCTCATCAAATCCTGTTGCATCTTGAGTGATGCAGAGTCTAAACGAATATTGGCTAGTGTGCTGTTCATAAAAATCAGCTCATCTGAATGTTTACTTAAGGTGTCTGTACAAGTTGTCCTGACCTCATTGAGATTGCTAGTCAATGTCCGTAGATGATGAGCAGTGTAGCTGATGTTGCTAATTATATTGACTATATCAGTCTCAAAGACCTGGAACTTCTCTTCCAATTGGCTGAATTTGGCAGAAGTTCTGTTTTCATATTCTTTCTGCTGTTCCTGGAGATCCTTCAGATTTTGTTCATTGGCTTGGGCAATTGTGGTAATATTCTCCATTTGCCCACTGAAGGAACTGAGCTGATTGTTCATGTCTTCAAGTGTATCGTTATTAGCTTTTGCTAATGCTGAATTGTTGGCAGCCAAAGTCTGTAAATTTTGTACTTTTTCCTTAAGCCAGTCAGTGTCCTTCCGGGCTTGAAGGACAACCTGCTGCAGGTTTTGAAAGTCATTCTTGATTCTTAGAATAGCCAAACTTGTATCTTCCATAGACTTCTGCAGGACACTGATAAGATTTCTTTGCTGTATTTGTGTCAAGTTTAAGTTGTTAAGGTTCATGATGACCACATTATGAGAATGCACTTGGTTTTGCAAATTTGTTTGGATATTACTTGTGTCTTGTTGAAGATTGTTTATATAGCCAGTATATGCCTGAAGAGTCTTATTGACACTGATGATCATGAAAGAGTTACTATCTAAGGCACTTCTCATTTGGCTCTGTCTATCATCTAGTACATTTCCAGATTCTTGGAGCTTCTCCAGTGTATCTTTGTTTCTGGTAGTTTTCTCTGCAATGTCATGAAGCTGCTGACGAAGAGCCAGAATGTCAGATCTGAAGCTAGACAGTTCAGTGTTAGTATTCAGGGCTTTCTGTCCAGCTTGGTCATCTGTTGTACAGACAAAAATATTAATGAAAGAATTTAAAATGTTTTTTAAAACAAACTATAAAAAATTACAGTATATTTTAGGTATGTTATGGCTGTCAAAATGTTTTGTCAATAGGATTTCTTCAATATCTTTTCCAGACAAGAGAAATTACTGAGCAAAATTTTGTCACTAGACAGAGTAGAAATACAAAAGACGAAAACTTTGTATCTTGCTGAGGGGAAAAAAATGGTGTTTCTGTTGTCACAAATATGAAAGCCTGCCATTAGAAACTATGACGAATACACACTGCCAAGTAGTGCTTCTATTTTGAATGAAAACTGAATGGTAAAAAGTATTTAAAATACCAAAGAGGTAACACAAAATTTATGCTTTGAAGCTACAGCTGGCTTTTGCTGAAAGTTCAGAAGTAGATTCTAACAGTTCATATTTTCTTTCTCCTGTCTCTGGCAGGTGGAATATCTTCACTGTGATTTAGTACAAATAGTTCTGTATTTTTAAATCTTGGGTTTAGTTTTAAAATGGTTATAATACCAATTTTAAAACAATTTGGGTAAAGACAAAAGCTTTGCCATCAGGTTATTGTAGACATGACAGGATACATTTCCTTTTTTCTCTTGAATGTACCACTGTTGCTCCTAATGACGTTTCTTTTGCTTTTATTGTTTCCTCATGTTCTGACTTTCAGGAAAGCAAAATCATAACCATTAAGGTAACATCTCAGCTTTTGCTTGCACTGCTCTACAGTATACTCCCGGAACCTTGTTTGAGTGTAATTAAGCTTTTGAGGTTGCACAGTTCACAGAATCACAGAATCACAGAATTGTAGGGGTTGGAAGGGACCTGCAGAGATCATCGAGTCCAACCCCCCTGCCAAAGCAGGTTCCCTACAGCAGGTTCATCATTCATCATTCAGGACAAATCATTCATCATTCAGGACAAAGCAGTTCATCATTCAGGACAAAGAAAGTACACAAATAAGCAGTCAACACTCACTTGGAGCGAATATTCCCTTTCTTGACCTCAATCACTTCCCTCTGCTAAACGCAGTCCATATATTTTTGTCCTATCAAAGTATAACTATGTGAATAATGTAGCCTGAAGTCCACCACTTCAGATGACTCCAAGAGGGGGCAGGATGGTTTTCATAAACTACAGTGAATATGGCTCTGTAAGGAGCTTTCTTCTGATGTGTTTGAATGAGTCGCAATGGTGAACAGCAAGAGAAAACTTCAACCAGAAGTGTTTATGGAACATAAACACACACACCACCCTGTAACATTTTAATTTCCTCCATGGCAGATCCATTTAAATTGGGACTGATGGTCTGAGCACCTCATTGGCCATCCATCAGTAGTATGTAAACATATGTGGACATGAACTAAATCAAAGGTGCTCCAAGCGGTGATTAATTTAATCAACATGAAAGATTGCATGTGCTTTCAGGTATAGCATTTATGCCTACATATGTATCAGCAAAAATACATGCCACTGAATTATCCTACACTGTTGAAATAAATGCAGTGTGCAAATACTTCAGAATACAGCTTGGTTTTTAGCGGAAGAAGCTGTGAACATCAAGCTGCAAGCTAGTGAATTTCCCAAGCAATACAAATCTCAATATATTGTTTATGAAGTGAAACAAAATGTATTTCAAGAAGCACATGCATGTATGCACATATTTATACTTAAATAAGAAGTATTTACATAAACTATAAATCTGTGTATCTATAAGCTGATAATAAACAGCTTTGCTACCTTTCCAGACAAGGAAGAAAGGTAGAAATGTAGATAGAGTGAGTTGGGAATCCCTACCATGATTTTTTTCCATTTTCTTGATAATTAAGAACTGTGACTACACTTGGGAGACCTGAGCTCACAATAACTTTATATTTTGTATTCTCTGAGATGATTAAGACACATTTTATGGAAGTTCTCAACTTGCCTCAGACATGAGAGCCCTGAACTGCTGATTATTTTTGCATCCTTTATAATGGCCATCGGTTCTGAACTTTAAGCGTTACAAAGGCATCAAGATGGTTAGGTGACAGATATTTACTTTATGTAGAATCTCTGCCTTTGTTGAGGAGCTTCTGCTATATTTTACATCTCTAACTCAGAAAAAGATTCTCGAGGACAACTTTTAAGTTCTTATTTAGGTATGGATACATTCAGAGTGACTTCAGTAGGAAGTGTAAATATTAAAGTATGCTTAAAATGTTGCCACAGGTAAAGACAGCCTTAACAAGTGTTCTCCCAAGTACTTGAGAAATTGAAACAGAACTATCTTGACATAGCCAGACAGTTTTCAGACAAAATTCTGGCCTGTATCTTCCAGGAGAATACTGAAAAGTCATGATAAAAAGGGGCTTTGGTTGCATGTAGATTACCTAATTTCTTCAGATCACTCTGCACCTCTGTGAGCTTTTCTGTATATCTTCTATGGGATGTTTCCAGGCCACCTGTCACATTGTTCATTTTTTCAACAACTACGGTAAAGAAAACAGTGTGTTATGGAAAGAAGAAAAAGTCAAATTATGAAGTGCAGTAAACTACAAAACAAACCAAAAGAACACTACTAGCATCAAACTTAAAAAAGCATTAAATCTGGCCTGATGCCACTACACTCAGTTGTTGTGCTATGAAACAACAGCAGGATGAACTCCCATCTGCTGGTGGTACCCAGCACACTTCCAGTTCTTCACTCTGCCAACAGTTCCCACACATTTCTTTACTCAGAAGCAACCTCCCTTATGAATAAAGAAATCCCTCTTTGTAAGTTCTCCTTATGAACCAAGTCCTTGTTTTCACAGAATCACAGAATCACAGAATTGTAGGGGTTGGAAGGGACCTCCAGAGATCATCGAGTCCAACCCCCTGCCAAAGCAGGTTCCCTACAGCAGGTCGCACAGGTAGGCATCCAGGCAGGTCTTGAACATCTCCAGAGAAGGAGACTCCACCACCTCCCTGGGCAGCCTGTTCCAGTGCTCCGTCACCTCACTGTAAAGAAGTTCTTGTGCACATTGGTGCAGAACTTCCTATGCTGCAGTTTCCGGCCGTTTCCCCTTGTCCTGTCTCCACTCACCACTGAAAACAGTCTGGCCTCGCCATTCTGCCCCCCACACCTTGGATATTTATAGACTTGTCTTTTCACAGTACTTCCATGCTACAAGTGCAGTGTTTTGTGGTAGACTGGTTGCTAAAAGCTCATACAGCTCATACATGTGAGAGAAGCCTTCCCTTTATTTCGCATGATCCACTGAGCCATTACTCCTTGAAGAGGCCTTTTTTTTTTTTCTTTTCTTTTTTTCCCCTGAGCCTTTTAATCATTAAAAGAATGTCTCCTGGATACAAGCTCTGGTCTGCCATAGCAGTTTGAAGATGCATCTATTAAGCACTTCCAAAACCAACGTTTCTGAAATCAACATTTAAATGTGTTAATAACGGCATAAATCACTCAAAATGTTCTCAAAATTGTTCTGACTTGTTAAGATTGAAATGGTGGCCAGTCAGCAAGTGCAGCCTTATGGCTTCCTTTAATGTGTTTTTTATTTGGTAATGTCTGAGTCATTTTCTTGTCACCGAGACAATTTGATGATTTGATTGAGTTGACATGGCAATGGAAAAAGCAACAAATAAAGAGCCTGGATAGGCTTCTAGTGACAGAAATCTGTACTTGAAGCAACCAGGGAAATGTTTGCAAGGCTGAGGAGCTGTCTTCAGCTTCCATGGCAAATCTACTTGAACATGCTTGGCATTCAAACAGCAACCATGGGCAGAAATTTTATTCTCATCACCTGACTATTTGGCCCTCAGGTTACACTGGGAGCAGAACAGATCTGCGTGAACCCTTGGAGAGGCTGCATGAGGCATTGTGCCAGTCCCCTATTCAGACAGGAGAAATAATGTTTCCCATGCCTTTAGGAAACCGAATTCTCTAGGCCTGTGCTGGGTTGAAGACACCAACCAATTCTTTCTGTCTGTGAGATTATCTGCAGACACAAAGTAGCCTCATAGAAGTTGTTGCTATGTAAAGAATTGTTTTTCACTAGGAGTGGAAATTTAAGCGATATTTTGCTATTCTGAGCAACCACAACCAGAACTTTGAAGTGCAGACCACCAAGTGCTCCTTCTTCATTTTGCCCTTGTTTTTCTGTTCATGGGTACAGGTACACAGAAGTTTTAATGCTTTCCAAAAAATCAACAGACAAACAGCAGATCAAGATCATCTCTGATGTAACTACACTGAGGTGAGTAGACTTGCAACAGAAGAAAAATCTCAAGATTTTCAAAATGACTGGACATCCCTTGATGAATAACCTTCCTACTCCCTTCTAACTGCTAACAGTGCAATAAAAAAGAGGCTCTACTGTGAGTGTAAAGATAGAGTCAGAGTGCAGATTTCAGTATTTGGGATGATGGCCTGCTAAAAGCTATGCTACAATAATGACCCTGGCAACAAAATCTTATTTCTTTTTCAGGGGGACTATTACTCAGTACTGCTTGCTTTAGAAAGGATTTTCTCCCTAAGCATAACACTAATATTTCACAGGTTCTTCTGCCTGTGAAAGGTACCTGTTGTACACCATTTTTCTCAAATGAAGCCAAGCTGATCCTCTGTTAGTTCTCACTGACTGTCTTCCAGGCTGGAGCCCAGCCCAGGTCCTTCTGTAACTGATGCATGTATGCATCATACACAGCGAGCATGGGGACCCTACTTGGTATTTCTTTCTGGCCAGCACTAGGCAGCTCCTTGTTCATTCCACGATGCTTTGCTTTGTTTATGAATAGTCATCACGAAGGATACAGCTCACTCTATGCTCTTAAAAAAGATCTAGCAAAAGCATTTGGATTTAAAAAGCAGACCCAGTCCAAGTGCTTTTGCTGAACCTTTGCCTACCAATATCACATTGTCTATGTTAACTCAGATTCTGCATACTATTCACCTGCTTACTCCAGTTATGCAGCACACTTGGAGTTGAAAAATGAATATATATTAACAATAATGAAAGGAAATATAGTTTATTCCTTTTGCAGTTTGACTGACAGTCAGTATTTCAGATCTAAAGTTTGTAAACCTCAGGCTTTTTGCTGCTCTGTAGCAGCAAGAATGTTGACTGAATAAAATCTAACACTGGAAACTAATATCACAGTATTCCCCTGAAGAGTTTAAAGTAAATGAAAATAGTAGAATACTATCAATATGCAGTAGCCTGTACTGGCAGCTGGTGAGATTGGATGGAATTGCATATACAACAGCATATGGTATTTTTGTTACCAAACTCAAAAAAAAAAAAAAAAAAAAAAAAACAAAACAAAAAAACAACCCAAAAAACCAAAACAGCCATACCAAAAAGACTGAAGGTGGTTTGTAGCTGGTTTGTAGCTATGAATATTCTTTGTGTAGAACACTCTGAACATTCATTGAAGCGGCACTTCATTCATTGAAGCGGCAATTTAATGAGAAGTCTTACTGGCACTATTGACAACTGGCTGTAGTATGTAGGGAAGACCATGCCTACTCTGTGCCTGAAAGATGGCAAATCACAGAATCACAGAATCATAGGAGCTGGAAGGGGGACCTCTGGAGATATCCAGTCCAGCCCACAGCTAAAGCAGGTTCCCTCCAGAGGGTTGCACAGGAAAACATCCAGGCAAGGTTTGAATGTCTCCAGAGGAGACTCCACAACCTCTATGGACAGCTTGTTCCGGTGCTCTGTTACCCACAAAGTAAATGTTCAGATGGAATTTCCTGTGTTCCAGTTCATTCCCATTGCCCCTTGTTCTGCTGGTGGGCACCACTGAAAATAGCCTGGCTCCATATCTCTGTGACTCCCACCCATTAGATATTTATAAGCAGTGATAAGATTCTCCCTCTGTCTTCTTCTCCCCAGGCTGAACAGCCCCAGGTCTCTCAGCCTTTCCCTATACCGGAGATGCTCCAGGCCCCTCATCATCTTTGTGGCCCTCCGCTGGACTCTCTCCAATAGTTCCCTGTCTTTCTTGAACTGAGGAGCCCAGAACTGGGCACAATACTCCAGATGTGTCCCCAGCAGGGCAGAGCAAAGGGGGAAGATCATTTCCCTTGACCTGCTGGCCACGATCTTGTTAATGTGTCCCAGGATTCCACTGGCCTTCTTGGTCAGAAGAGCACACTGCTGGTTCATGGTTCATTAGCAAAAAGATGCTGGTTTAGGGAGGCTGGAAAGGGGATGCTGCTTTCAAATATACAATGTAGTGGTTTTGTCTATAAGATACTAAACTGTTGACGACTTACTCAGATTAACTGATGTCAAGTGCAGAATTAGTTTTATCAGGCATACCGTTTCCTTGGTTTTTGTTCTGCTTCCCCTCACAGGGTGTCAACACCGCAGTGCAAAGTGTGGATAAAGGCAGAAATGTCAAGGCTAAAAGGCAGACTGATCCTGATGTTCTTTTTGAAGGTCATTATGCTGCTTCTAACAGTCTGCTGCTTTCAAAAAATGCAAAGTTTGTCTGTGCCTTGAGCTTCCATTTGGACAAGTTCATCTTAACTCTCAACTTGATGAGATATCTCTACACTGTGATCTTAAATTTCTGACAAGGCCACTGTGAAAAATTTATTAAAGGTCCTGCAGAAGAAGCCAAATGTTCAAGTAATTGTTGACCAGAACAGAGAAGAGTGTCTGTACCTGACCTACTCTGTGTTTCAGCCTCAGTCAAGTAGGAGAGAGAAAATGTACCCTCTCACCAGGGTGCACTGATCTTGAGTAACCGCAGGGAAAAGCTGGGAGACAGGAAAAGCAAGCAGGTGAAAGTCATAGTGGTCATTAGTCAAAAATATATAAAACAAAGACTGATCAGCACTGATAACTATCAAGAGTTCAAACTGAGAGCAAGAGGTTCCCTTAATGGAGAGAGCTGCAGAATGATCTTTCACCTCACATAGACTAATTTGGCACTGCCCAGTGCCAGAAGTTCTATAGCTTTGTATTTTTGCATTTTATTTAAGAAAGCATATTTTAAAATCACAGCTTGCATTATTAATGTTTTTAAACAGCTATTTCATATTTCTTCCAAAAGTGAACTAGTAGTAAACTCAGCTTGTTATTCCTCCACGACCTCAACATTTAATTCATGTTTTGGTTTCAGGTTTCTCCAACCTACTTTGTAATTTTTACCACCAATTTAGAGGCTTGTTCTGTATTGACTTTGCCTCCCATTGAGTTATTTTTTTGCCTGCCATATTTAATTCACTGATTAGTAGTTTTAATGTTTTAAATCACAAAGGATATCTAAATACTATGTAGGAAATGAAAGTTTTAAAAGTAGTTTTGGGCTTTATAAACATAAGCGTGGGAGGCAAATTTAATGGAAACTTAGCTAAGAGACTGAAAGAATCCCTGATGCCAGCAGAATTCCTTCTTTCATTGTAATACTGCAATAAAAAAGACGAGCCAAACTCTGATGCAGAGGGGAGAGTTCAAGAGCTTTATAAAATTTTATTTTAAATTTTGTTTTTCCTTTAAGGCCTAATTCCTTCCTCACTAAGAAAAAATATTGCAGTAATTCCTTTGAATGTGTACCATCGACTGCGGCTTTGTTCAATTGCAAATTTTCCCTGCAAGTTCGCTTTTTAGGCACTGTGGAGACAAAGCTCTTAAACTGCAGGGTACAAAGGGTGAAATTAATACTTGGCATATGGCTACTTACTTCTTGGAGTTACTGAGAAGATACCTGGGACCAAAAAGGACTTTTCTCCAAAGTCTTTCTCTTGGAATTCAGGCGGAGCCATCACCAAGATGTCTTAAAGTCAGTGAAGATGTGCATTTTTTCCCCATTTCTGTGGGCAAGGAAATTCTTTTGTCCTTACCCTGGAGAAATATGGATGTGACAGAAAAGCTAGATCCAGCTCAGGCAGCAGTGACTAGTCAGTGCAAGAAGCAGGTTTAGAACTGACTATAGCAAAGAAGGGGCCTCAAGACGGGAGTGAAGCTTGGGGAAGAGACTGTGCTGGAGGCTTGTAGAGAATGAAGCTGGAAAACAGTGGACTGAAATGAGGAAGAGGAATATCCCCAAAAGATATTCTGGACAGTTTCCTTATTGCTATTGCTTCCTGCACATATACAAGCAAATGTTTGCCAAAGCAAGATACAGAGCAGTGGTCTCTCCAACTTGACTCTTTTGGATGCCAAGTGAGGTCTGAATCTTCTGGTAAGCCCCAGAACTGACAACCATGTAATAAAAAGCTCTTGAGGAAAACTCCACTAAATCCCAGTCATTTAGTGTCTGGGTTATAGTCCGGAAAGATCACATCTTTACTCGGCATAAGCAGACATCTGCAAATTTATACATGCAAAAGGCCCAAGTTTCTCCTCCCCTAAACAGTATAACCAATCAATCTTTTCTTAACAGATCAAGAATCCTTCAAAGTCTTTTTTTCTCAGTATCTTACTTTCAGAAACCATTTACACATTCTTCAGGAGAACATCTGCGTAAGTATATATGTACTGCTTTTTTTCCCCCCACATTTGCTTTTAATTTACCACATTCTGTCTGCTTTATAGTGAAAAAAGAATATCTCTATTTGGATAGAATACTCTTCCCGTTCTCTCTTCTCCCTTCTTAAATTTTCCATCTAAAGCAAGCAGTTGTAGTTTTCTTCCTACTTAAAACTCCAGTGAATCCTCTCAAGTAAGTATTTATCCCTTTCTACTTCTACAATTTCCTTTTTTTTTCAGCGGCAAATGACCAGAGGTGATGTCAGTTCTGCTAATAGCACAGCTGTTGGTGGCATAGGATGCACTGCATGCTAATCATGTGAAGATTTACTCAGCTTCTTGGAGGGTTTATGAAGCTACAACTGAAAGCTGTGCTCAAATAGATTGAACCTTGCCTGTTTTTCTCCACAGTATGCTGCAGTTTTCTACTATAATGCTCAGAATGTTATTCATTTTCATTATCTTAGTAGAACCTCACATCCCACTTATTTCATGCATAGCTGTGAAGACATTCACATTGACTCAATCATAACAATATCTAAATGGCTACACTTAATAGTATCCATTAGGTATAGAAATTTTAAGCTGTGCTTTCTAATACACCCTTGTGTGGATTTGCAAAACTGAAATTTCCTACATTACTGGGTTGCCCAACTGCCAGAATCTTTGAAAGCTTCTAAGCATCTCTGTTCATTGTACTCAATAAACTCAATAAACTAGCACCTCCTACTTTAATCTTTCTTCCATGTATTTCAAAGTAATATTGATTCCACACTTTTTTTCCTGTGAAAAATATTATAATTATCTTACTAAGATTATTCCTGTTTCTCCCATCAAGAAAGACATTTATTTTGGAAGGGTGCTGATATACAAAAGGGCTCAATGAAATCAAGGCTTAACATACTGCAGAGCTTTGAGTCTTTCAGTTAGTACCCTTTCATAGCAGAAGAAAAACCAGTTTGTTTTAACTTTTTCGTCTTTTACAATTTCTAATCTAATTTCAAAACATCATAATTGCTTGAAAGTGAAACCCTAAGACTGAGCTTTTGTTGCTATATATGTACCACAAACAACACTGACAATAGTATTCATATTCAAGATGAAAACGTGATCAACTGTCCATGTGATACACAGAAACCTCCTTGGATGCTTGACTGAAAGAGAACTGTTGCACTTGATGCATACTTACCTTTGTATCCCAGAATGGCTACGGTAATTGTTAACAGGGCACATAAAATGTATAACAAGATGATGGAAAACTTCAGCGCCCAGTTATTTTTACACTTGGTACATTGAGTCCCCTCCTGAATACCTGCAAAAGAAAAGACGAACAATTTTAAAACAACAGCAAAAGACACATTGCTGGTTTCATCTCCACATTTTTTTTCTTCCATGTTCCAATAAACAAAATATTTATGTTATCAGATGAGAAATGGGTGCCTCTCTGCCTATTCTGCCAGGATAACCTCCATTGTGGAAGTTCCATTGTGGTTAAAGCATCAGCTTATTGATACAGCCACTTTGGGGTTTTAGGCTGTGCAAGAGAAGGAGGTTCTGCTTCACTGGAAAAACTGGGGCTTTTCTGGGAGACAGGATCATTTTCTGACTCTGCTACCAAGTCTGTGGTGAGCTTTGGAAGCCAAATATTTATCACTATATCCTCTGTCAGGATGCTGCCATAGCAGTTCTTTCTCAGCGTTCAGGCAACCTACAGAGACAACAGTAAATACTCCGGAAGGAAGAAGAGACAGAAATAAAAAATAACATTGTGAAAGCACGGTAAGAGTACAGGATCTGCCTTACAAGCACTACCGCAAATGCAGACTGTGTGAAAGCTTTCTTTCCATAATGAGAGAGAGATTTTTTAATTTTTGATTTGGAGTGCACCATTTTCAAACAGAACAAGGACTGCAGTGCTAGTAAAGCCAGTGGCACATACATACCAGCAGAGAAATGATGCTGAATTTTCCCTTGTAGACATGTTAAAGATAAAGGGCCACAAAAACAGAAAACAAACCCTTATTATTTTAAATTCAAACTTTTTTTTTTCTTTTTTTTTTTTTCAGGATGTTTTAATATCTTTGAGTCCCTCTCTTTTTTTGGTGCGCTCCTCAGGAACAGCTTGAAGGTTTTGGGAGCATCGACTAAGATACAAAGAAATTCAGGAGAAATGTGATCATGTAAAAATATGCAAACTGGGCCACTGCACTGAACTGAATGAACTGGATTTATCCCTCCTTCCGATGTGCATTAGTAGGTCAGGATAAACGCAGCTTTCAGTGTCTGACAAAAATATGCATTTCTTTGATATTTCTCTGTATTTGTGTACTATTAGGGGAGTCCCACAGGAAAGCTTTAAGCTCTAATAAATTCTATGTACCAGATTACTTAACTAATCAAGATTTGTTCTGTAGCTTTTTATGAACAACTTATATTTCCCCTGAGGCCTAGCCCACAGCTGATCTTACTTTTCCCAACTCATGACCTTCTGTAGAGTCGTTTTTCGCTTTTATTTTGTAAGAGAAAAGCACAGGCCTCTTCCCCTGGGGTCACCAAGGCCTGGTGACCGATGCAGCATGTTAAGTCAACTGTATTTCTCTTTCCAAGAACTGCAGTCTAGTGACTTCCTCAGGCCCACTGTAAGAGAAGGAGGGATTACCAAACTGGAGCAACTCAGGAAGAGGATTTATACGAAGTTTCCAGCTAGCACATACACTAGCCATGCACAAGACAGAAATGTGTATCTCATAGGTCAACAGGACAACCTTCTTTCCACATTATCTCATGTTTCCCAGTCTTTTCAGCTAGGATGCCACATTCTATTATTACATGATGCATATAATGCCATTGGTTTGGGATACCTTATGTTTAGCATGAGATCAGTTGTGAATAACCAGTTCTTTTTTTCAGGAACAGCAGAAGAAAACGATTTGCAAGTGTAAGCCCTGGAAGTGAAAGGAAAGGAGCTGGTACAGAGTTGGGCATCTGAAGAGCCCATTTATTGGTGCTTGGACTTGGAAGACTGGTAATACCTGCACCACAAAAGAAAAAAAGTGAAGAGTCCATAATCTGGTTGCCACATTTGGTTATAGACCTTGGTGTGAGGGTTGGTTTTCTTTTTCTGCTTGATAGCTGCAAGGGATTTACAAGTGGGGAAGTTATGCTTGCTGAAAAAGCTGAAGGAAGAAAGCAATTTTGTAAAGTTTTGTAGTAATTTACTTGGAGACTTAAGTTATTTCACAGTGGAAGCTCATGGTGTCTGGAGCACCATTTTGCTGCTGTTAACTAGTATTAATGGGCTCACTGAGGGATCTGTACTGTGTGTTTAACATAAGGTTCCTCCTCAAAAGCATTTAAAACTTAGATTCCAGAACTCTAAGACTCTGAACATTTCACATGTCAAAAAAACACTGGAGGCCTGGGGCACAGAGCACATCACATTTACCTTCTATGCTGTACAGACAACAGAAATCTTGCTCCCTACTATTTTAATGTTAATGGAAGCAGAATCAAATCCATGACTGGGAAGACTGACAGACTGTGGAGGTACAAAGCCTAGAGAAAGGTAAGAAATATAAACAAAACATTTGACAGTGCACATAGAAAAGTATCACTTGATTGCAGTCTCATATTAAGATTACTCATTTTATAACATGAGCTGCTTTCTGTCACTGTATTCCAACTTCCTGGGTAGTGTAATGAGCTGAAATGCTGCTGATGTCATTGGAAGTACTGCAGTCCAGCATCATGTATCATGTATGCTCCAATACATCACAAAGATCTTGTTTCATTTGTCTTAGTCCTCTCTACCGCTGGTTCAATAAAACAGCACTTTGGCTTTAAGAACTTTTACTTTCAGCATATTTCAAACAGACATCAGAACACCCGAACAAAAGCCAGAGCTTTCCGTCCCTCAACAATCCAGCACTGCTGGTATCAGTAACATAAACACGGCGTACTAATGTGATCACACAGATGAGAGCGAGTCCATTAACTAATCTGGGCTGGAGCTGTGCATGCCTGCCAGTGATTCCCCCCACAGCCTCATCGAGCGTGCCGCAGGTCCAGGATGCAGTGAAACACCAGAGAGATCTAACACACTCCACTGTCCTCCTTTACTAGAGATGGGCACAGTAAAGTCTTTCAGAATCATTAAATGTGCTCTTTATTGCAAATACATAGCCCTTAACTCTGCTAGCACCAGCTGGATTCCCAGCCTACTAAGCATATAAAAATTATTCAAGATAGAGGTGCTTTGAAGGAAAGGTGGAAGACCATTTTGATGTCTTTTAGTGCAGTCCTACAATAGTGGCAATGAGCAAAGGTAAAAGCCAGGAATACAGCCCTCTCCATATAGTGATGAATTATTATGCAATCAGGACTGCATAACCCCTCCAAGCAAAGAATCTGGCTTCAACTTTCCCTGTCGTTCTTCCCTGCTCCCTGTTTTAGGACCAGTCCCAAAGACTGTTTTGATAGAGGAGAAACATTTAGTCAGTGCTCTAAGGACACTCCTTCTTATTGAAAGGTTGGTCTGAAAAACATGATAGCCAAAGTAGTAGGCAAGAAAAGATGGGAGATGATTTCAAATGCTCACTGTGATTACACAAAACCCATCAAGTTGGCATAAAATTACACAGGCTTATCACAAAAGCACAAAGTCAGGTCTTGAAGGAATCCATGCCTGGGCTTTAACCTCAACAAAACTTCTACTTCCAAGAATTGATCACACTTTTACTCACATGATTGCCTGCTTTCACGACTCACACAGTTTACATCTTATCCAGAAAGCCATATAGTAAAATGTACAGAGAAAGACCCTACATGTCCATTCCATTGCCAGAACATATGTAAAACCTGCAAAGCTGGGTTCTTGGCTCCAGTCTGTTCTTGGTTTGGTGTTGTTGCTCCTAGTGTAGCATACTCCTCTGTGTCCTGTACACATGGTTTTAATGCTGGTCTGCTCCCAGACATTTGTCACTAACTTCAAAAACCAGGGAGCCAAGGTCACTTCCGCACGATGTGCATTTCTCACCGTGGATTTGATCAACGTTTAATAAATATCAGATGGGACATGATGTGCCTCGTTTTGTTGGACACATGCTTTTTTCCATTCCCTTTCCCAACTTATTTTAATAAGAGCTCTGGTTTTTCTATCTCCCTGTTGGGAAGACATCTGGCCAAACAGACAGCGACCCAGTACAAAGAGATCCTGCTGGCTTACTTACTTTGGGGACTCCCTTCTCTGCAAACCAAGATGGTCACAAAAAAATATGCAAGTGAGACATCCCCCTGTTACCAGGCTTTGTAGTATTTGTTTTTATAGCATCGCATTCCAGCGGCTGAAGACTTTGTTCTTATGCAGGGGGTAGACATCTGCAGATGCCTTTTGTGCTCCAGATAAGCAGAGGTTTTGCTGGGGGAGGTTTTTCTTTTTTTTTTTTCTTTTTTTTTTTTTTGTTCTGTGCTTTTTAATGGGAGACTAAGTATCTTTGCTCTTTGACACAAAGCAGCTACCTTACAAAATGCTTAACTTCTCAACTATATTGCATGTCAGGAGCATGTCTTTTAACACTTGAGGATGATATGCACACATATTTTCTTGCTGAATAATTCTTTTAGAAGTATTTTCCTCCGTGTCCTTTTCCTGGCTCTTGCTGCAGGATCTTAGGTGGCCCCACCATATTTCTGCTAGCACATCAATTTTGACCAAGATGCAAGGTTCCCTTTGTAACCCCGATAAAAATGGTGCTGATAAGACAACTGAAGAAGTGGAGTACAGGAAACAAAAATATGTACATTAGTTAGGAGGGGTTCTCCCCAGTGTGATTCAATGTGAAGAGATAACATCCCTTCCAGTTCGGAAGGAAGAAGACAAGTCTGGTTTGCATCCTTCAAGTGATAAATTTTTCCAGGATAATGTTTTTGAAACTGACGAGTAGCAGATCTAATAGCTATATTTAAGGGGCCTGAATAAACTACTGAGATCATACAACATGTAGGTAGGAATCAAATCCTGAGAGGTATTTAACCGCAAAGTGGGTGCTGAGATCACCAGCAAAAGGAGGCAATCCCATGAGGAACCTATATCTGGATAAAGCCCATTATAAAAAAAAAACACATCTGTAAGCACTGAAATGTACACATCCAAGTGCAAAATGTATGTATGTATATTTATGTGTATATATATATATATACATAAAATTAGCATTATTAGGCATTAGGAAAGTAAACCTATCTTACAGGACCATTAGGATTTTCAAATTTGGGCATATATGAGTGAACATACACATACATATATACATGTGCTCA